TTTTATGATAAAATGTTTATAAATTCGTGTATAAACATCACGCACAAATTGAGTTGTGTCAATAACCATTTTCATTTCAGAGCAGACCTCTTGTAAAACAAGATCCAACGAATGATTTAAGCAGCAAACATACACTGCCTGCGGGTAAGTTTCTCCGAGACAAGCTCTCACTCCAGATAAGTATCCACTCATGTTACTGGCTCAATCAAATGCATAGCCAACTAGTTTATTCATGGGTATTGTGCAGCGGGTAAACACATCAATTATGGCATTAAACAATGTTTCAGCAGTGCTGTTCTGGCAATTGTAGAAACCCATAAAGCATTCCTGTAGTTTTAAATTAGGGCCTACATACCGTATGCTGACAGAAAATTGCTCATGACCCGTTACATCTGTAGTTCCATCAGCTGTAAGGCCAAGATATGCGCACTGTTATATATTCGTGACAATGTTTTGTTAAACTGAATGTGAAAACATTTGAATAATTTAATTTTGTATTGTGTCTGACATCCATATGTCGCGTTTGTTTAACCACTCTTTCACAGAGGGTACATCTTGTAACCGTTCTAGTACAAGCTGCCATAGATTTCCATCATGATGTTTTCCTCCTCTTAATACCAGACCCTGTCGTCCGACATATTTAATGCTTGAAAATATTACTTTCAAAACAGTTCAAGCGATGGCCTGAGATGATGACGCTTGTTCACTAAAAATAGCAGATATAGGAGTCTGTTTGGAATACAGTATTTTCTCTGTGGCTTCTTTGTGGGCGGATGACTTTTCATGAATTTAAAATTTTTTGGTTCCTTTTTTCCAGTTGGAAAAGCCAGAATCAACAAAAATATTAGCTTGTCAAATGCTTAAAGTTACTAGTTTCTTATTCACAGCTTCCAAGCAGTTGAAACACTAAACAGAATCTGTCTCAGGAACATAGTGTAACTATGGCCATTTCGCAAACCAAATACTCTTACAGAACCTTTCATACTCATCTGATGCATATTTCTTAGTTTGGAATTTGTACGTAGAATGGGGTTGAAAGAAATAAAGGACCAGGGCAATACCTGTTACTTCCGGTACAGCAGGTTTGCTTGACTCAAACTTGGCAGAGAAAGTGGATGTGGTAGACTTAAATGGCTGTGTTGATGGTCCAGAATCATATTGCGATGATGTAGCGGTTTCACAAGCACAAACATCAATTTCAGTTTGGCTCGTGTTTGACGTAAAGGATTTGGGTATGGATATTACATACATTTCACCTTTTAGTATTTGTTAAAAAAAAAATATTTTCAGTAGTCTTGCAATATTGGAATGCTTCCGTAAAATGATCAGACTGCGTATGCTAGCTAACCTAGGCAACTATTTAGTAAAATCGTCTGTTCCATGATTTAAATTTAACATATTAAATGCTTAATAACCTCGCTCTTGAAAAGAAGACGTCTATAGTCTTTAAACGGAGCTTATTTGCTTCTGACATTGATTGATTTGTTAAAGAATTGTGCGATTGAACATTAAAACAAATTTAGTTTTTTTTAATTTTATTTCATTTTCATGAAGTCTGTACTCTATACTCTGTTCAATGAAATTTTTTACTAATCAAATTCTATTGAAAAATTCTTAATTTAGTTCTTTTTTTTTGTCATGGATAATGACCTTGAAACAATAGACTTTCAAAAGTTGTGTTTTGACGTTTTCAAAACTGAAAATATTTTTTTTTGCGACTGATTTATACGAGGGCGATATTTTCTTTTATAACAGAAAAGTATGTAACTCTACATATTTTGTTATTAAAAATTTTAAAGCTGAACTCCAAACTAACATAGTAAAGTTCACGGTAATACACATCAACATCAGAAACTTAAATACAAACATCGATTAGCAATAAAATCTCAAGAAGTATTGGTATTTTATATAAAACCAGACAAATCTTAGACATATCTACACTAACTCAACTATATTTCGCATTCATAAATAGTTATTTATCTTATGGCAATATTATTTGGGTAGTACAAATAAATCTAAACTCGACTGTCTACTTAAACAACAGAATCATGCAGCACGCATTATTTATTTTCAAAATCGCTTCACAAATGCTAAACCTCTTTTAAAAAGCATGAGGGCAATTGATATTTATGAACTAAATATTTTCAAAATTACACAATTTATGTTTCAACATCAGCCAAAAAAAACGCCGAAAGTTTTCGAAAATATTTTCCCTAAAATATTAAACCGATACAACACGCGATCTACCGGAAAATTTAAAAAACTTTTCCGTACATCAAAACTTACGAGTTTTGCCATTTCCTATCGTGGCCCAATGCTCTGGAACCATTTTACAAGCCTGAGTAAATAAGCCAATACCTCTCAAAAATTTAAAAAGAACATAATCGCATTTATTACCAATCAAGATTCTTTACTTGATTTTTTCTAACAATACACTTTTATTTCCAATTTTTATTACCAAAGGTTACTAATGATAATATTTTATCTTCTTCAGGCTCTCCGGTCTCGTAACTATTATAAATAATGAAATGTACTTGTATTTAATATTTTTAAATATTTTATCGAAAATTACCTTTAACTGTAAATGGTTGCTTGACAAAAATGAATATAATAATAATAATAAGCTAAAATACTTTCTTATCGAATGCAAAAATTCTTTCAAAAAAAAGAACTTTTGCATTCTTTTGAATGCAAAAGTTTTTTTTCTTCGGAATGCATAAAATTATTGCTGTTTTGAATCGCGGATAGTGACATATTAGAGGGGCGGAGGGGAGGGGGGGACAAAAAATATCCTCTGCCCCCGGTGCAGAAATGTTGGGTGGGCAATTGCCCATCCTGCACCCTATGTTCCAGCGCCTATGTAAATATATATATATATATATATATACATATATATATATATATATATATATATATATATA